AAGTGAAATCATGTTTGCGGCAAAGACACAATCAATAAACCTTTCCTTTCTTAAGAATCAATTGTAGACAAACCATGAAAGAAACACTTCAAAAGGGAAACCAAGCAATTACCAATAACAAAGAAAGGAAAAAGAAGGAAAGAATATGACAAAAAAAACACCCAAAAAAAAAAAACCATGAATAATGCACACCTGAACAAAATAGGAAAAATCAGACTTTATTTTCTTGGAGTTTTGGATACAAGCTTTTGAATTTTCCCTTTTTCTCTGTTCTCTTTCTCCCTCTCGATCTCTCCAATTTTCAAATGCCCTCTCTAAAGCCAAAGGCCCTCTTTTTATAGACAAAGGGAAAGCCCAATCCTAATGTGCTTCTAATACTCAATCCCAATCCCTAAGATAACAACCCAATCCTATTTGGAATGGGATTTCTTAGTTCTTCCCACATCTACCCCTTTTTAAGTCTAAATTCATACCTTTTATGCATTAGGACTCCCACCTTGAATCAATTTCGGACTCTTTGGAGTTGATGACTTACGGTTTGTACATCTTTATCCAAATCCTTCAATTGGCTGAGCTTATCTTTGAAGAAATCTTCTTGGCATCATGCTGGAGTTGATGAGAGAGGAGGTGCAGCAGAGAAAAAAAAAAGGGAGGCTAGGGTTCAACTAAAAACCCAATCTTTTATTTTTTAGTCTATTGGCAAAACGACGTCGTTTTTTCATTTCCTCTTCTTAACCCCTTCAAGTTTCTAACTTTACAAAGACAGTCCATTAACTTCTAATTTTATCATTTAGCTCCAATTAACATTAGGCTATGACAAATATAATGATAAGTAGATTGTCGAACTCATGAGAATTATGATTAACTAAGTATCAAAAATAAGTAATTTAAATTTATTTAAACAATCAAAAAAGAATAAACTATAATTAAAAATAAAAAAAAAATAACAATTAAAATAAACTAATAAAAATATGAGGCACTAAGGCATTGATTTCATCATAATCAATCAATATAAATTTCGAGTTAACATGCTTCCAAAAACAATTTGTTGAGTGTTATTGCATAAAATGGTGGATTTCCCTAAATTAATTAATTAACTAACTATCTCAAGTCAAGTTAATCCTTCATTTGTTTGTCAAATTAATCATTTCTCTTTCAAGTTCATGCATAAATCAAGCTTTCAATGCATTAAACTCAATAATATAAACTCACCATGTAAATAACTTTAATTAAAAGTATAAAATCACAAAATTTACAATAAATTGATTAGGCTACATCGTAGCCATTATTAGAATTTATTAATTCACCGACAAAAAATCGTATCAGAAAAAAAGGGAATCACATCAGTAAAATAAGCTTCCAACTTGAATCATATCGGTAATTTGTTTATTGGTAAGTCACCTCAGTAATTCATTTACCGACATGGATTAAAGTTATGTCAGTAAGATGACTCCCAATGACTCCCAATTACTAACAGGCAACATGTCTTCGACATTGTACCAGAGCAATAAAACTAAAGATCTTTTTTGGTAACC